AAACCTCTCATTGCTATCAATTAGTACTATCAACAATGTGTTCTTACTGTTAATAGTAACAGGATGTACTAAAACATAAAAACAGAACATAGGAAGGTCTTTCTGCTTCTGAGATACTTTCAAGGAGAAACAGATAAACTTATTCGGCACTGATGAAGTGGGACATTTTAGCTGAAGTTTGAATGTTTTCTCCATGTTTTCTCTAGTTTTCTTCCACAGAGCAAAATGTGGATACTTTATGAACCAAAGGCTCATAATTGTACTTTGACACTATAGCAGTATGTTACTGGTTTGCTCTGCATTGCCCTGTAGTGCGTCAGTGACCTGTTAGTGGTGTAAGCCACCTCCCAGCCACTGACTGCTGGTGAGGAGCCCCACCGCTCTATTAAAACATGCAAAAGATTAAGCAGCTATTGATACAACATGACTGAGTCTAATGTACTTTGATAAATAATGAAATAAGTTGATTTTTTTTTTATAAAATGCCTAAATCATGAAAATAAATCAAACTATTTATAATACAATGCTAGAATTCACTGTTCCAGCCTTGAACACCAGATAACTTTGCTGTTTTTATTGCCTTTTTTACAAGAGGAATGTGTTTTGCAAACTTGCTGATTTTATTTTCCTTTTTTTCTCTCCTGTTCTCCTCGCTGTCATTTCCTACGGTGTTGGTATTTTCTCAGAATCCACCGATCCTTGCAGCACTGAGCAAATGAAACCTCAGGTGAGTGTAGAGGTCAACAACCATCTAAGTTGCTGAACACAGGAGTCAAAAGCTACAACCTTTTAAGGTCCTCAACATCAGATCACACTCACCATCCATTCATCCGTCTTTACAAGGAAGCCTTGAACTGATGAAACAAAAGACGAGGAAATAAATTTAACAAATCAGAAGGATCAAGCGTCCTTCTTAGTCTCTATTTATCTATTTTTTCATCAGCTCTATTTCTCCCAACACACACCAACAAACTATATCATAAGATCAGGCTCTCATCTGCTCAGCCACACAGTATACAACCAGAAACCAATTTCAGCAGGCAGCATTGGAAAAAAAAAAAAAAAAAGAGAGAAGAAAAAGAAAAAAGAATCAGGCCAGTCCTCTGGGGAGAGATAGAAGGGCAGAATGTAAACTTCCCTGGCAAACTATCCCGGGTGGATTGAGCTGTAAAAAGGAGCTCACTACAGGACAAGATAAACTGAGAGGACAGTTTGCATTACCTGATTAAGTGAATTACATTACAGATTACGCAAGGAATGCAAAATACAATACAGCACACTCAGTGCTCTTATGGAACAAAGTTATCTTTGAGTTCTTGGACTGGAATTTGCTGGCTGCTTATAAAGGTTATTGAATTAGAATATAATGAAATGAAGTGTACTTTATTTTATCTGATTATCTACCAGTACATAATCTGGACGGAAGTGGTACTTTTTCCAGCTTTACAGATATTCTCAAGTTAGATTCTCATTTATCACATTTTAATCAAAGATTTAAATGGAAATGTAATTTCTTTCCTTCCACGAAGTTCACTTTGAGTGATATTTCTGCTTTAAACTGGATTTGGCTTGTAATTCCACCCCACATAAAACATATTGCTTGCATTTAGCTATCCTTAAGATGGCAGTTTATAAATACATTTAAAGTTTCAAACTCCAACCAATTGCTTAGATTTTATTTCACTGAAAAATTACATTTTTTTTTATTATTAATTAATAGATAAAAATCTTTTCCTGGAAAAGATAATGTACAGCATAATTGATATCAGCAGCATAACTAAACAAAAATATGTCAGTAGACGACAAATAAATTACTACTGGCAGCCCAAACTATGCGTAAAAGTTAAGGTAAAGATAAAAGTATTGATGTCTCTTCAAACCATACACATTCAAAAAGACAAGGTTCCTGGAAAGGATCGGTCTGCTACTTGAATGAGCAATTAGCAGCACCATGATTTCACACCCTGAAAATGAAAAAAAGCTACTTTAACATTTATAAACCTTATCCCCAGAGAAAAATCCAAAAAAATGTAAAAATATTGTTTTGTTTTTTTTCCTATAAACTAAACTCCCACAACCCTATAAGAACACAGATGGTGCAAAACCCCCAAAATTTCTCTAGTTGTTTGTTTTTTCTTTTTTTTTTTGTGGGTTGGAAGCTAAGAAGTGGTAGATGGCCCAGATTTCTTCCTCCGAGCTCTTGCCACAGGTTTCTGTTCTGGGTCATTATTATTCTACTCAAAAAAAGTCTTAAAGCCATAAACTTAAAAACAAGGTAACAAGGGCCTTTGAAAGAGAGCCACAAGCCCACAGCATGACAGATCCATCACCGTACTTATCAAAAGACATTGCTCCACTTTAATTCCATCAAGATTTTGGTTAATTTAGCATTCAGGTTTGTGATGGTGGCACTCACTTCATAACCGAGTATGTAGTCTAATTCCTAAATACTATGCTCAACATCAAAAAGTAAAGGATAAATAAAACTGGAAAGATTTAAATAAAACCACTACTGTTTACTTTAACACAGAATAAAAACGAATAAATGTGGGATTTTTATTTAAAAATGTCAGTGTGAGACAATGCTACCACAGTAAAGAAAGGAATCTACTATAAGCCTTTAAACAGTTGCCAATGAATTTGTCACTGTATGTATTTTAAGAAACAAGATTACCTCAGGTACACCACTGAAACCATTCACACACCCAGAGCTGCAATTTGAGTTATGACACCAACTATTTCCACACCTCAGAGGCTTTGGGGAGCTGTGAATAGAGCAAGACTGCAGTGAAGGTCACTCTAATTAAATATTTGAAAAAGCCATTCTTTTCTGAAGACAACACACAGCAGAGCTTTGTTTATTTAACAAACCATCATTCCTTCATGTGCTGAGAGAAAAAAAAATAAACAGCTTTTATGTTATATATTAAAAAGAATGTAAAATAAGGTATTTCAATCACAATGGCAAAAAGCCAGGAAACGTATAACACATTGGGAAAAGAAAATAACAAAACACTATTTCCCTCAATAACAATGGCACACTTTATTGCTGTTTAGCACACAATGGCTTTCTGTGCAGTTTGTGGTTTTGCTGCAGTATCCTGTTATGGGGAACAATCCAATTCTTCTTACGTAGCTACACATCAGCCCAAGAATAACAATCAGCAAATGCATCACTCAAGAAATACAGCCACTTCAGGCTAAAGCAAGAAGAAAAAGAAAGAGAGAGAGAAAGGAGCCATCATAAAAATCAGTTTATAGAATGAGCCAAAGTATTACACAGAATTAGACATTCAGCAACAAGATGCTTTAAGGCTATGTTTCTATCTGATCTGCTCCTGCTGCAGCATGAATATTTCATCTCTGAAATCAGCAGCATTGCAGTGGCATATTTCATATTTCTATGCAAAACACAGCGCGTAGAATAATGCTCGTTTGCTTTGATGAATAAGTGATCCGCTTCCCCAAAACTCTCCAGCACTCCACTCGTATTGTTACACTGTCAACAAACGGCGCGCGCCGAAGATGCAGCAAGCAAACAAACAAATGAGTGCACACAATCCATTGTCTGTGCATCGCACGTGTACATCTGCTGCTATCAAACGGTGTGTAAGTGTGTATGTCTCAAGTGCCCCTGCCAGAATCTATGGCCCGTTCTGCTGAGTGGGCAGAATCTCTGGCGGAGTGTCCCATCGGAGTGACAAGTGCATTTAGAAACAGCCTGATGGAGTCATTAGTGGCAGTGCTGCTCATTAGCAACATAGGCGCACATGCACAAACACCGCATACTCACACACACAAAGCAACCATAGTGTTATCATCAAGTTATTGCACCCACAATGGTTTAATCTATATAATCTAGCCGCACATTTATAGAGAGCCAAGATATGGAACATAATACCGCTTAAAAAGCAAGCTGACAAATCTACTTATGAAAGCAAGCAATCATAAACACACACAGAGACACACACAGACGAGCAGATTCACGTTGTATTGATTCCTAGAATAACAACAAAGCATTCATTATTGATTGTCTTGTCGTTTATGCGTATGAGATTCATGCAGGGTTCAGTAATCAAGGGCATTACAGCATCACCCAGAAGCACATAATGGCTTTTCTTTGTGGAGCAGAAAACGTTAGACAAGTCATCAATAAATCAACATTTGCTACAGAATACCTCAAACATTTTAAACATTTAAGAATAGTATGTTCGAGAAAAACAATGAACTAAAATAAAAATATGAGACAAACTCTCTGTGGCTTCACAATAAATAGTGATCAAGATAGAATTAACTTGTTTGATAAATTATGTTACAACATCTTGGTTAACATAAGGCATTACATCACAGCCACATGAGAGAGAGAGAGAGAGGCCAAGAGCTTCAAAGAGAACATAATGTTCCTTCTGATTATTAAACTCAAATGCCAGAGTTTCCTATTTGCATTGGATGAGTCATTTTCAGCTTTATGGTGCGACTGATTCATAGCTTAAACTACACTGAGAGCCCAAGAGTCAAGAATCAAGCGTTAACAAGTACTTAATGGCACAGTGTATGTGATGAATACACCAAGCAACCATTCAGATGCACACAGCAGTGATCCTCTAATCTGCTTTGCTGCACAGATGATTATCACACCTGGACTGATGGTATCACAGGAGCTTTAAACTACAGTTTGATGCAGCTATTTTAATAAATATGGTTGCTATGTTTTTTCCAGTAGGGAAACCAAAGTTGTTTGACTGTATGCAATAATAATATGTTGGTAAACAGCCTGCTGCTATTAGTGTAATTCACAGCTCATTATAACAGAAGCTTCAGCTACAAACTGATGAATTACTGCATTCAAGACGGCACTTGTTAAACCAAGCAAAGAGCAATAAACAAGATGTGATTTATGGAGAGAAAAGGAAACAAACACGTAAACAATATAACAGCACAGGGATGAAGGGAATGATGCAGCATGCTTCTGGGAATGACTGGAAGCTGCTGGTGCTTACCTAGATTTGCTCGCTCCCTCTGGACGTCTTTGAAGTTGAGGCCGCTGGTCAGGGTGCTCTCCCTGTAGCGGTGGAGGGCCTCGCGTCTTCCGTTGGTCCCCAGCTCGCGAAGCACTGAGGGCTTCAGAGGCTCCACCTTCAGACCGTTGGCCCATCCCGAGAAATCCGGTACCGTCCACTTCACCAGGTCCTGAAGCCGCACAATTACCTTCTCAGACACAGCGATCACCTCGTGCTGAAAGAGTTAGAGGTAGAGCTGTTAGTTCAGAAGGCATACATGTATGTTTTCACATTTCTACATTAAGATGTCTTCTGTCTAAATGTAATACGGAAAGTTAGCAAATCTGAGATTAAACCTTAATTTATAGCACCCTGGTAAAGATGTGGGGAAAAAAAGTTTAAAAGAAAGCCATCTTTTGTTGCACTAGGATACTCTGCTACTAAAATATCTAACCTAATAAAAAGCTATTTAACAAACTGTTTGTCCACCAACATAATTATTGGTATCTCCAACAATAAATAAAAAATATATATATATATATATATATATATATATATATATATATATATATATATATATATATATATATATATATATATATATATATATATATATATATATATAATAACAGAACGACATGAATTAAAAATAAATATGCAAAAAGAATAAACAAAAGTGATATTTTATTAGTAATCCATGGCCTCCTTTTTTCTATATGACACATCAAAGAAATTATTTCTTTTAATGTTTCTTCGGAATGCAGAAAGCATAAAAATGCTCAACTATGTACGTTGATCCTCAGTTGTTACAAAATAATACTAGTTTCTCATCTAAATCTGCCTTCATATACAATTAGAGCTTTGATCAAACAGCTTTAGATCTTGAAAACTTTGTAAACCTAGGCAGGGTGTTCAGTCAGGCAAAGGATAGGCCAGTGCAATTAATCCCTAAATCTCACTTTGACTGATTGCTCAGGATGAAAGTCTCCATTATGTCCATTTGAGGCTATCTACGTGTCAAACATCTATTTGGAAGAAAAGCAAGAAGTCTTTTCTTTTCCATGATCACAAATGTTTCTTTGCAGGTCTGAGAAATAGAACCAGGACATTAGCTGGTCCCATTTGGTTTGGAAGTAACACCATGCTTGAAATGAAGGATGATTATGCAGCAAAGTTCTTAATGCTGCTTAAATGCTAAGTACGGTAAAGGGAGTGTGATGCTGTGGGATTTTTGCCCACATTGTTTCACAGTATGCATATCACGGAGGCATGGCTAACAAACTCCAAACATACTGTACATCCATAATCACTAACATTTCATAGCATGAAAATATTTCCCTTATTAAGGTAGTCAAATTCAATTACTCCTTTTCCCAGCTGATGAAGCTATTAACTACGTTTTTTATAGTGATGCATTTTAAAGTGTAAGTACTCATCCGTAATGTGATTCGGATGTCTTAATGCTGCATCATATGATATTCACTTGATTAAGCTTCGGGCTTTAAGGTAGTAATAATTAGGGTCAAGAGTTGGGTAAAACTGGATATGGAATCAGGACATCATCACTGAATAAAAGACGACAAACGGACCGTCGTTATTTATCAACTAAATTAGCATGAGCAACGAGCAGCAGCGTGGCGGGCTGTGGATGCACATTAGCGTAAGTAAATTACAGCGGCATGAATATGGATGATGCGGATGATTGCTGAATTGGATTGACGTCGGGGAGTTAAATCAATGTCAATGAGGACGTCGCTGTGTTGAGACTTTCTGATTAACATTTAGAAAAGTTGGACTGCTGATCTCGAGACATAGCATGTTTTTTTTTTTTTTTTTTTTTTTACTCAGGATTAATACGCCCCCAGAGTTTAGAGGGAAATTATTAGAGAAGAAATATTATGAATAGAAAGCAATATTAAGTCCAAATAGAGTCTCTAATACAGGGTAGAACTTGGAAAATAGGTAGAAATGTGTCTAGCAGGCACTGAGAAATGACTTAAAGCTTAGTGCTTTAGTCAGTTTAGTTGGCTTACTAAATAGGATTTGCTCTCTCTTCACTGTGTGGGTTTAACTTCCTTTTTTTTCCTGAGGTTGATTCAGCTCCTTTTAATAACTCTCCAACTTGAACAACTTCAAGACCAGCGGAGTGGGGAGGCAGCAAAGACTCCTAAATGTGTTTCCATTTGAAGGGGCTAATGGCTAAAGTGCTTGTTACCAACAGAATGGAGTGGTTTTGCTCTAAGACGGCTATTACAGAAACAGGGAAATCTGGAGGACAGATGTCTGAAAAAGGCCGAAACACACGGAGCTAGGTCTCTGATGTTTACCTTGGTTATCTCCAATTTACCAGGCATCTGTCTGGCTTTGTGCATTTCCCCTCAAAGAGCTTGTGTACAGCTGACATTAAAATAACACTCATTATGTTATATTTATGTGTGTAAGTAGAGGGTGTGCACTCAATAAAGCTGCAATTAAGCAGTCTTCTGTAATCAAAAAGAACAACTCTGCTGTAAATTCTACATCCTTTAACTCCTCAGATGTTTGGATCTATTTTTTTTCTGCTTCGGTTCCTTGTTTTGATTAAAACATTTCTGTTTTGTGTTTTTTTTTCTTCCCTCCTCAACAATATTCTAAAAACAAACACATGTCTTCTCAGCGTTTCATATTCTCTCTGAGTGCTCTGTCTATACAATTACCCATATTCAGTTCTCACATCAACTCCAACTACAGGCATATCAAATCCCAACCAGTTGGAGACAGTATTTCCTTATAAAGCAAAAGCCTGCAAGGGATAGCTTGATATAGCTGTGCCTCCCTCACTAAGTAAAAACATCAAACATGGGTTTTTGGTCGTCTTATAATGAGCTGTCTTCAGCTGTCAAGCGGTGGCGGGTGGTTGTAACCGGCTTTCCGTGCAGTAAAAAAACTGACTGTCGAAAAAAGCAGGCCGTTTAAATAATGCAGAACAACAGTAAATAGCATTCAGCCTGCAGCCAAAAGAGCCACATTGCTCTGTTTCTCCACAGAATTTATCCACTGTAGTTTGATGCAATCTGTTGAAGGCGCATAAAGAAAGCAAATGTTTCAGCCGAGTCTATTTAAAGCAGAGATAATAGAGCGAGTGAGCTGTAACATAAAACCCTGACAAGGAAGGGGAAAAAAATAGGTGATTGCTTTTATATTAATCCGCTGAAAGATGCGGTGATTTGCTAGCGTGTCAACAGATCCTGTTTGGGGACTTGTTTGGCTTAAGAGCAAAAAAACACAACAGGTGAGTACAATCCAGCAGCTGTCAACACAGTCCCCAATATATTCAGTTATATGAAGTAAGCTGCTGCATTGAAAAAAGCAGCCCCCATATAACAATTCCTTCCTTTTTTTGTTTTCTACTTTACCAGCCAAACTCAAACTAGTTACAGCCTGGGAGCTGGGAATAGGAAGATGATGAATGATTTGTGGCTTGGATAAGACATGAGATGTGGTTGAGAAATATGTAAATAGTGGAGAATTAAGAAATTTCTCTGCGCAGTTTCTGAGAACAAGTCCAAGTTGATTATTGAGAAAGAATTGCAATAACATCATTGCACCAACCTGCAATGCCACTGCATGAACAAAACAAAACACTGTTCTGGTTCTCCAACTAGATGATTTGTATTATATAATCACCACCATTTTATTTTGGTTGGAAGTGCAAGAGATGACTAAACAACTTGTCAAAGTCAATATGCTTTAGTGAAGAGTGAAGCTAAGAGATGAGATATATAAATACTTATATTTCAAAGAATTTCATTAGTGTCTTTTCAGATCTTTACATTTATTGTCTCACATCAACCTAACAAAAAGTACACTAAAAAAAAAATCCCGGCAGGTTAAAATTAGCAGAGTTTGGGTTATTTTCTTAACAGTCCTGGAACAGACCTGAACTGCTCTAGGCTTCAGCTGATTACACATGTTTGGGTAATGAGTTTGACTCAGGATACAGGGTTATATTACTAACCCAGAAACAGCTGTCCTTCTGAGGTGGGAGCTATAGCTTTAAATTTACTGCTGCCCATCCAACATAACTAGCAGTCCTGTAAACACAATTCTGCATTTAAAGGATCATAAAATAACATAAATATCACCTCCTAATCCATTAAAAAATATATAAAAATGTCCAAATTTAGTATAAAAACCATAGCTTTGGTATACTGATTTAAGTTATGGTGAAAGTGAGGGAATGCTAAACCAAGCTCGCACTAAACATTAGCAAATAATAGGCTAATGTCTTAAGAAGGGTATTTGGTTCTAATGTAAAAATCTACTCACATCATTATGAGGCATTACTGTATTATTTTGAATGAATCTAAAATGCTCAATCAGTTTACATTTAGATCTAAAGTAAAAGTAGAAGTTTTTTTTTTTGAGTTTTCACAGCACTAGTGGCTCGTTTTTGTTAGTTTTTTTTTGACAGTAGACAGTAGTAGTTTATTTTTTTGACTAAGGCCTCCATACATGGGTCATGCGGGCTAACCACTGCATCAACAAAGCACGCACTAAAGTTAAAATTTGTGAAGAGTGACAAAGATCCTTACGTCTCCTCCTTTTTAACACATTCTTTATTTCACCCCAGACAAAGACATCTTTCTCTATTGTAGTTATGTGGCTATTATGAGGTGAAATGAGGAATGCTGAATACCTACTTACAAAGTTGCAATATTATAAAAGGTTGAAAATAAATAAAGCATGCAACTTAAAAACATACATTAAAATGTTAATATGAGGTGTAAGGTTGAGCCTGAGCCCCCCTGTGTATAATTTGTACACTTGCAAAAAATGAAAAATTGTGAATGAACCCTAATAAGATAAACTGGATCATCGTTCTTGACCCAATGTTTGAAATTTCTCATTTCTGTCCCAGCAGCGTACACCCTGCTCTGGGTTAAGGAAATAATAGAGACTTAAATAGGTTGAAGAATAATCATCAACAACTTCAGGATAATGACACCAATTCCTCTAAATTTAGCAGCTGACTAAATATCTCAGCTTTTGATGTCCTGTAATGTGTCCAAGATGAATCATTCCAGCAGTATTTCAGCAAACACTTTAGGGGTCTGCGTCTCACTACTTGGATACCAGGCTTCAAAAAGGCGGTTTACAAACTACCGGCCATGCCCCCTATGTAAATGCCGCTGTCCGCACTGTGCTGTCATTTCGAGTTAGGCAGCTAGTAGTTAAGCAAAGTGGCGTCCGTTT